TGCCGGCAACCAAAGACAGGACTGAATCAAACTGCTCAAGAGGTTTCTCAGACTATGGGGTTCTTCGTGGGATCCCGTCATAGAGAAATTTAGTGTTCTTGTGTAGATTACACAGTTGTCTTTCTTAGCCGAAGCCGGGTAATGGCCCCGGTACGTCAAGGATTTCTCCATAAATTTCTCAATTTCTCAATATGATCTTGAATGGGACGCATGGCCCGGTTCCCAGCACGTGCAGCTCCCCACGAATAGATTGGAGCATGTTTCCATTAAACCGCGAGTACTTGGCCCAGCTATCGATGCCGAGCCTGGAATGCCCCTGCGCGCCAATTTTTGCCGAAGAGCGGGGGTACCGTTTTGATTTTTTTTTGGCTGGCGCTTCCAGCCATTCTGGTCCGGTACCCCGAAGCCAGGCGCGGCGCGTTAACGGGAAAGCGCCGCAGCCAATAGCTGGGCCAAGTACTGGTGGGCTCTCAGACCTGCCCTTGATGTGGGCTGGCCACCTCTTCCAGTGCGTAATGAAAGTGTAATTTCTAAAATTAAAAAAAAAAAGAAAAAAAAAGAAAAAGAACCTGATCAAGAGGCCAGATTCCTTGCTACGGCAAACAATTGAAAAAATTCCAACAAGGTCTCAAAAAAATATCAGACAATATTCAACCCCTTTACCATCAGCGGCCCTAAAAGGGGTCTCCAAGTTCAGCACAAAGAAGCCCGAAAAAACAACGGGCCCCTAACATTCATGTGTGCACTTTTCCAGAGAAACCCAAGAGGGCCACGTGTGCAATTTTCCAAGAGATAACAGAGGCAAAATGTGAATTGTATCGGACGTATGATGGGGAGCATGAGGCAACAACAAGAACAAAAGCAGAGGGAAAAGTAAGAAGAACTGATTAGTTCCTCGTGCTACAATGTACTTATCGCACTACCGTTTTACCCTGAATAGGAGGTACAGTCAGCGGAATGGACTTGGTCACTCCCCCAGAGAAAGCAGGGGGGTGTGGCAAGTCAGATAACCCTCTACTGGTTGTAGGTCAAGTCTGCTTACAGGATGCTAAGACCCAAGCGGTATCTGAGGGACGTGGTTATCGGTCGCTGGGCCAACCAACTTAATGTGGACCGCTCTCTCCTGAAGCCTATTCATTGGTTCCAAGACCAGAAATCTAAAACTGCAAAAATCTCGTCCCTACAGTGGCAAATAGCACACCGCTGCCTGCCCACAAACGACTGGCTAATAGACCGCACCAACCTGGAACAGCGGGCCCTGGCACTACGATGGTGCCAGCGGTGTCTGCACATGTTTCCTGCCCATAAGAGGGTGGAGACTATCAAGCATATCTTTATGCAATGCCCAATAGCCCAGTTCATGTGGAGGTCGTGGGACCGGATTTGGCCGAAGACGGTAACAGATCTTCCCTGGCCATGGTCATGGCGGGCCATTGGCCATTAGCAGGAGAAGATTCGGCTTTTGTTGAAAATATGTTCTGGTTGGGCAGGAGGGCGGTGATCTGGGCGCTCTGGAGACAAAGGTGTGTCTTGGCCTTGGAAAATGTGAGAATAGAAGGGGCGGAAATAGTGGAAGAAATCCAGCAACAGGTACAGTTAGCACTCACACAAAGATGGTCCGACACGAAGTGACAACTGGATCTGTTCACACAAATCTCTGATGTCAGGAAGGGGATTACAACATTTTGCACAAACTCGTTGGGAGGAGAGAGGGAGGGATGGGTAGCAAAGGTCACATGGGGAGGGGATGAAGTAGAAGCTCACCTAGGTTTGGAGGATATGAGGGACTACAAGTTAGTTTTTAAGGAATGGGGAATGGGGAAAGCCCCTGCCAGTGGGATGTTCAGGGCAAGATGGTGCGCTAACTCGGTGCTGCGCCGGGGCAGGCTCGCGACGTGAAGTGGGCACCGACTGACTGCCATAGCCGCAGGCTTGTGGGTAGACGACGTAGAAGCGGCGGGGTGGAAGGCGCCATCAAGGAGCAAGGATGCAGCGTGATGGATTTTTTAACACGCTAGCGGACGGCTTCCTGCTCGTACGTCTTTTTCAGTGCACCGAAGACGGAACTGACATCGACGAAGTGCAGGACACGGAGGGAGGAGAAAAGGTACCATAGCTGGAAGAAGAAGAACAACGTGTACCCCCTATGCTACAGTGAACGAGAAACGCCCTTGGCTGGTCCACCTCTCCCATTGCAACTGATTAGCTTTCGTACTGTGGACTGGTAGCGCGGCGGGGATATGCCCGTCGAAGGGAGGTAACAGCTCTAGCAGGTGAAGGTAAGTTGTACCTCGCGTTGGCCCTATCCTGTCGTAGGGGCTCGCAAGAGGTATGGCTGGCGCACTCGGTCGGAGCGGCTTGCAGAAGCTCCTTGTGTATCGCGAGTAGACCAACTCCTGCATGACGCGACCGGGAGGGTCCAGCCCTGCACGAGACCGATGCGGTCGATAGCGCTACTACCATGCGCCCCCAGTAGAAATGGTAGTCCAAGGCATGACCTGACACAGGATGAGGAAAAGGGGGGGATTGGATAGCAGGCCTGTAACGGTTTGCTTTCAAAAACCGTATTAGCCGTGCGGTCTGCCAAGAATAGCATAACAACACAAACAAGAAGTCAGGGACAGGACACTAGGCGGAGGGGGGCGGGGGGGGGTAATTTTATGTTGTAGTTTCTCTCGTTTTTGTTTTATGAAGAATATATATATATATATAGATGTAAATATAAATATATATATTTCGTTGATCTATCTTTTGCAACACAACCTGGACACTGTATACTATAGCACGGAATGAAGACTGCATACGTTCCACATTAGAGTGGAGACACGAAATGGTGCAAACCGGGTCCACCATGCCGTCCTTCTTTTTCCAAACCCGGCCGCCAAGGAAAAGGAACATCACTTTTTCTTCGCCTCCCTTGTGTGGTGTGAGGTCCTATCTGCGTGTCCAAAAATGACTGCCAGTGGTCCAGCGATTGTGCCAATTACACATCCATCCTTGGCCTACCAAACAAAGACACACTTTCCAACTTCACAGCTCCCTATCCATGCGTGGTTCCGCTGCAGGGAAAAGATGTGAAGAGCGGTTGGCAACTCACTGGAGCATGGCGAACACAAACGATGTTGAAGGCGGGTCTTTACAAGTTGTCGTGTTGCCTAATTTCCAACACAAATTGTTTGTCGAGAGGCCGACCACAAGCCCGAACAGGAAGAAGGGATATGTTTGCTTGGTGGAGGAGGAGGGGGCCGTCGCCATGCTTTACGTTCATGTGAAGAATGGCGGCACGTGCACGTTTGCGTAGATGTGAAAGCCATCCGTATCGGATCGTACCTCAAGGGCAAGCGATGGGGGTCAACGAAGGGTGAAGTCGGTAGAGTGTTGGGCGTTGCAGTGACAGAAAGACAGGCCTGCCAAAACTTTCTTACACACCGGTTGGTGTCCATTCATTTTGACTTCGAAGATGCGTTTGACATTGACATAAAAAAACAGGACATGCCGTATACAAAATGTGATCCGGGTAACTTGCTCAATAAGCGTATTGTCGACTGACTGATTTTTTTTTTTTTTTTTTTTTTTTTTTTTTTTTTTTTTTTTTTTTTTAATTACGCATCTATGATGGGGAGTAGAGGACATGCCGGTAAGAGCAGACACCTCCTCTACTCCCCTAGATGGATAGATGGCTCCGTTCCATTGGTGGGGAGTGACTGATCTTATTATTACAGCAGAAACAGTCACCATGAAAATGACTCCTTCTTTAGTTAGACTATATGAGCAGATAGTTGAACCTAAATATGTTATTGCAATGAGGCCATGTACAATTACAGGAGGTATGTTTAGTACTGATTCTTACAGTACTGTACGAGGTGTTGATAAGCTTATCCCTGTCAATGTTTATTTGCCTGGATGTCCTCCAAAACCAGAAGCCATAATTTGTGGTCATCAAGGTTATGGTTAATGAGATGGGTATTGCAGGGAGGAACTCCAATTACAAGTTGGGCAATGTAGGTCGGCTATTCATACAGGTGATTGGCCAAGCTAGTTGAAACGTTTGAAGGATGTGTATTTTTTGGGAATATTTGTCATTTATTTTCATCGTTTCTTCAAGTTGTGCAAGATTGTTGTCATCGAATTATTAAATAAGCAACATTGATTGTCATAGTGAACACATACTCAGGTTAGTTTTATTCATACAGGGGACCGCCCAGGCTAGTTGAAACGTTTGAAGGATGTCTATTTTTGGGAATATTCGTTATTTGTGTTCGTCATTTCTTCAAGGTTTGCAGAATTGTAGTCGTGGAATTATTAAACCACAAGTAACAAAAAAAAAAAAATCTACTTAAGTAGCCTAGCAATAGGTCACCAGTTATCCATGTTTTTCCTAAAATTTATTGAACTTCTTTGATAGTTATCGGACTGTTCTTAGTCGATGTTTGGTGATGACCATGGTATTTCAAATCACTTATATAATTCCATATGGGACGCTGGGCCCGGTTCCCAGCACGTGTTGCTCCCCACGAATAGACCGGAGCATTTGTAAAATAAAAAAAAATAAAAAAAGCAACATTGATTGACATAGCCAACACAGACTCAGGGACGTTACAAGACGAAAGACAATGGGAGTTGCATAATGATTACAAATAATGTCAATCGTAAGAACTAGTCATCCCGTGACCCACCTGTCCATAACTCTCTCTCTCTCTCTCTCTCTCTCTCTCTCTCTCTCTCTCTCTCTCTCTCTCTCTCTCTCTCTCTCTCTCTCT